TATATATATATATATATATATATATATATACAACTGTAAAAATCATAATATTTTTGAAGGGGGAGGGGGTGTACATATGATGGTCGAGCTTCGTTTTTTAAACGGAAGCATGAATGTTTGAATAGATTCCGCGTCGGTGTCCTTCAACGAAATTTCAGTGGTACATAAAATATACATTGAATTTCATACGACATTTAAAATATTGCGCGTACAAATTCATGGGCGAGTCTATATACTTTATTTAGCAATACTATTGAAACGGAACAGAGACATATGTATAAAAGAAAATTGTTTCGTACGATGTTTTGTCTGCTATGTATTTTTAATGATCGAAAAAGTGAAATTTCTTGCAGATACTAATTTATGTCGGGCACATTTTCTAAAACTATCGTCGGTTGTGCTGCCTTTTGTAACAAATAAAATGTACTTGAATGAACAGACATTTAATGAATTAACAAATATTAATACATTTAAGAGAATCGGGTTGTTTGATTTCTCAATTTAAGCCAGTATAATTTATAATCGTTATTGGGTGGAAAATGTAAGCCACGAGAAATGTGTCTCGATTGATAAAGCATCGATGTTTCCGGTTCAATTCTCTTGCTGCTGTCATTTCCAGGTTACTACAAACAGCTTCCGGAGCCTATCTACGCGGATTCTTGTCGCAGATTGCAGTATCGTCGGAAGAGCGACAGCATGAAGCGGAAGGTGCGAGAAAAGTTCCTCAATATCTGGTAAGTCTATAAGCATTTCGATTTTTCACTCGAATTCTGCTTTTCTTCTTTACGGACTCCGCGCCAAACTAACCTGCCTTTTATTTCGTATTTCGATTGTAATCCGATAAATAATATGCGAAACTGAAATATGTATAATCATAAAAGAAAGTATATATTGAAATTACTGGCTGAATTTTCATAGCAGTGTCTCGCTGATTGCTTCATAGAAAATTGTTACATCTGGTTTGGCAACTTCCAAATAAATGTGTCATAACAGAATGATCAAATATTTAGCCATTTAATATCACTGATAAAATGTTATTAGTGATATTAATAAATTAATAATAATAATAATAATATTAATAATATTAAAAATAATATTAATAAAATGAGTCGAATTTTTAGTTCACGTGATGTATAACTTCTTTCATTTTCTAATATTTCTAAGAAAATTGTCCAGAATTTTATAATATTTCATAAACTGATTAATTACGTTGCTGATTTAATCACGAATTTTAAATCATAATACATTTTTAATAGAAAGTTGGATTAATTGATTTTATACAGTGAGTAATTATAATATTCCTTTTCAAACGCAATAACTCTTTGAAAATTCGACCAAATACAACCGGTCTAGTTTGCAAGACAATCAGCACAAATTTTGTTTACTAAAAAAGAGAGAATATTATCTTTTCAACTGTTCGTTGAAATTTGTACGCATGTTAAAAATTTTTTCATAAACATTTGTTTGCTCAGTGTTTGCTAAAGTAATCAAAATATTCTTAATTAGTCATTTTTACTAAAATTAGTAATTAATATTTTAAATTGGTCAAAAATTAATTAAAATATTTCACTCGTAATATATTTTCATGCGCATTAAAAAATATGTTAGTATCTTCTTTTCAACATTTCTAGACGATCCAAAATTATTAACCATCACGAAAAACATTTTTGCATAATTCATTGTATTCCAAATATAACAATATAGCGACGGTAAGTTCAACCGTTTTAATTTTTCTACGTCTCTTTTATACGTCACCTATTCAATTTCGTTTTAAATGCTGAAAATCTGCAACATCTATTTATAACACAATACGTGTCGGCGCTGTGATCTTCATCATTCAACGTAAACGTAACATCGTCGGTTAATTAAAATTCTTTTATCGCGTGAAATTGGGGTGAAATATTCGCATCCCACCGTACGATGGAACTATCAATGAGATACCAGGAACCTGTTAATCTACGCAAGCCACCTGGTTACGGGATGATTAACTACCGCCGATAATCCGATATATTAAACTGTTGTTTCCAGCTACAACGTTGCGTGGACAGTGACGGTGTCGTTGATCCTAAGATTCTAATCAGAAAGGATTATGTCCTGTTTTGGAAAGTCGTCGCCGTATGAAACCTTTGATAATTCCGAATAAATAGCGCTTTCAATCTTCGTCATTTAAAGTTTCGAAGTTGTTTAATTGAAGCGAGAAGAAACGCGCGAAGCGTCGTCTAACGACTGACTAATTAGCAGTCGTAATTATCGGACAGCGAATCCTTATATAACTTTATATCGCGTAAAAATGTCGGAAATTATAGTTCACTTGACTTTTTTCAAATATGCGTGCGCTGGTAAGAGCTCGAAATCATGTTAAATATTTACCAAAATTAATTAAGATCGAGAAATGTTGTACGCCGTACAAAATGTTTTAATTACAGTTTTACATTTCCATGGGAATTTCCTTCGTTTGTATCGTGGAATGATATTTTTTTAACAGAACGTTTCTTTGTTTAAGGACGGTTTTGTTTGTTTTTGAAATTATTACACGCCTGAAACGTTCGAGCGGCGGTGTGCGCCCGCATGAAATGCAGCAAATTTCTCTCTTTCGTACGGATTCCGTGCTTTTTAACTTTTTTTTAACGTACTGCTGAGTCTGCGGTAATATTTTTCAGTGTTTGAATATGGCAACAAATTGAACGTGAATAATTGAACCCGCGCTGCGCCAGCATCGCACATTTCTGAATTTTCATGAACAGAATCTGCATTTTTCTCTTTTTTTTCTTTTTTTGTTTATTCGGGCACAAGCGTAATTCTATTAGACGCTGTGCGCCGATACAAAAGCGAATTGATTCTCTAGAAATAGAAGACCGTACGAACTATAGTCTGTTAACAGTTTCGAAAATTATGCTATCAAAACGGGGGCAAAAATTCGATGAAGCGAAACGTGAAAAGCCTGGGAACTGAAACGTAGAAATGTTATATTAAAGGGCCCCGTGAGAAAGTAAATCATGCAAATGATAAAAATGTACATAAACGATCTCTTCATGAAAAATGACTGTGTTGTCTCGTGGGACGGCACAGTAGTATAAGTCAACATGTAGTCAGACGTAAATGTTACACAGCCGTACTTACTTCTTTGAAGACTAATTGTTCTTTAATTTTCGGTTCGCAATACCGTATTAATTTTCTTATTTTAATTAACATCTACCCAAAACCGTGTATATTTAATACAAAATCATCTTGGAGCATTGAATCCATAATAAAGCGAGAATGTATACAGACAATCGTTTACAAAGGACCGTTTTCTCAGTTTCATGTTCTTCCTTTTTTTAGATTTCGTGCGATGAATGAATTTTTATTCTAATTAAAGATAACCTAGAAGAATTTATGTCAGAGAATTCTTAAACCGATGTCCATTATTTTGCATACATTGTTATTATTTCTATTATTATATACATTGTTGTTAATTAATAAAACGTTGAATTCGTGTTAACCTTGTTTATTGCGTAAGAAGAACGTTGAAAAAAGCGTCGGCTAAAATCTCGAAAAATGTAACCACGACAAAAATTTCTATTTCGATCACATTCTTTGCTTGTTCAAACCTAATCACGTTTTCCTCTAACACAACCGTCTATTATCAACGATTCGCGGGGTTATTCGAATAAAATATTTCAAAATTACATTTACATTTACGTTGCATTTTAATTTCATTCGATTCTCTGTTTAAAAATGCAGATTGTATTCTTATTTGCTTCAACTGTCTATTTAAAGATGCGGATCGCGTTTCTGTTGAAAAACGTTGATTACGTTTTTATTTCGGGCTACCATACTTTCTTAACCTTTTAGGTACGGCTGAATTCTGCGCGAGGCTATTTCTATGGACGGCAGAGTCTGATGTGTACTGCATAGAGTCTGATACTGTATATTCTGTCTGTATATACAGGGTGTCCCAAAAATGTCTCGCAATCCGAAAGTGGCGGGTTCCTCGGGCCATTTGAAGCAACTTTTTCCTTTACAAAAATTTTCTCCGAGGCACCGTTAATGAGTTATTAACGATAAACAGTGACCAAAGAGAGGCGAGCTCAGCTGGCGCGAGGCGACCGAGCCAATGAGCGGAACTGGGCTTCGCGCGTTGGTTGGCTGGGCCGCCTCGCGTCAGTCGTGCTCGATTCTTATTGATCACTGTCTTTCGTTCATAACTCGTTAACGGTGCCTCGGAGAAAATTTTTGTAAGGGAAGAAGTTGCTTCAAATGATCCGAGGAACCCGCCATTTCCGGATTGCGAGACATTTTTGGGACACCCTGTTGACTGTTGTAAATCGATGTGAAGACAAAAGAAGTGTGAAACAAATGCATATGAAGACGATTATTTGGTACAAACGATGAGCGAGTGAGCTACTAGAGCAAGCTACTATAGTGGCGCGTCGTGCCTAAAAGGTTAATCAGCCGTATCTGTCACTCGATGTTTCTACCTTCTCCGAGAGAGCTGGAGAGGCCTCGTTGAAATCGAATTCGTTATTCCCATCTCTGGAAACGAGTTTCTTTTCAAGCAGCGCCGGCAAACGCGCGACGAATATCACGACCTCTAAACTGGAAGCCCGACGAGATCAAGATCCGTGGATCATCCGCGTCGAATTCTTTCTCGCGGTGGCCGCTGATATGAATTATTCAAGCCGTTATGGTCGCTCGCTGCCGCGCCCATTGTTTAGAACGATAACAATATCGCGCAACTACCGTTTCGAACGAGCCCGGCCCGTTGCTCACTACGCAGTGGCTCTCGATCCTATCTCGCGTTCTAAGCTCTCAGTCAGAAAGATAGCGCGCGTGCACTATCACCAGACTCTCGCTGATACGGCCAGAAGTTGGCAAATATTTACAAGAAGCTACCACCCTCCGATCTCGACGAGCTTTTAATATGTTTCCAAGACCATCACCTCGAGAGAGCAGCCTTCCATTGGTTTTTCTTGGCGATCGTTCTTCGTGAAAAAGTATGGACTGTTCGGTCACGTGACAGTATACAGGGTGTCCCAGGTTTTAATGTTCAAACTTTGTCAGTGTATTCTATGGCACAAAGTAAGAAAAAGATGTTATGTAAACATAGGTCATACAGAGCTTTATTAAGAAGTTATAACAAAAATTCAGGATAGGAATAGTAATCAACTCGCTGTTACTGCGAGCATTGGCTCGAATAGATCAGCACATGCCGTGTGTTTATGTAAGCTGTGTTTATTAATACATTTCGAAATGTCTACCGTCGTTGACAATACATGATTGACATCGATCGAAGATCGATTTTATGACCGTGCTAATTTCGTTTCTGTTCTCTTTCATTTCATTGAACGAATTTTTGTTATAACTTCTATAACTATAAGCTCTATATGACCTATGTTTACATAACATTTTTTCCTTACTTTGTGCCATAGAATATACTGACAAAGTTTGAACATTAAAACCTGGGACACCCGGTATAGAATAGTATGGAAAGGGTGATGCGATTGTAATTTCTTTCCAACGTATTGAAAACAGAAACTTTACTGACAAGAAATTATTTTTAGTTGGATGGTGTAGATACCTTCGATTATTAATATTATTATCAGGTATGAATAGGGGAATTGATAAAAGGACAATTCCAAATTGTTCTACAATTGGAAAATTAATTCTTGGATGATTAATTGAACATTATCCCTGGACTGCGAAGTTTTATGCGAAATAAAAATTGTCTGAGTTAATCGTAAGAAGCATTTAA